TAATTGAAGCGCACGCTTAAGTCACATTTGACAAGTAGATTCTTACGTAAGAGCTGCGTGACATGTATACGTATGTATGTAAGTATTTACTATAAGTATATATACTTATACATATACATATGTATGTATATATATCCCAGTCCGAGTTAACAACAATTTCGGGCAAGTGAAAGAGCAAGTGATGTTTTGAGCCAGTTTCAGTTTAAGTTTCAGTTTTTAGTTTCAATTTCAGTCCCAGTCCCCGAACAGGCCTGCAATGTTTGGCACTTTCTACGCGCGTCGTGTCGCACGCTTTCAACCACAGCTCACACCTATGTACGAATTATTATCAATTTGTGCACGTCTGCGCCATAAAATGCCAATCATTGCCCATGCACATACGAGTATATAACAATTAAAATCCAAATCCAAAGCCAAGCCCAAATCCAATTCGAAATCCGTCAGCAATCAACTCAATAACTAACTTAATGCGCAAATCGCTTGTTAGCCCTAGCGTTTTTGTCTTTGTCTTTGCCATGGAACCGCGACTAATGGCCCATAAAATGCCACCAGGAAATGCCGCCTGGAACTTGGCTAATTAGTTCCGATGCCAGCTGACAGCCTAAACTGTCACGCATTGCATTTCCGATGACGACAATGATGGCGACTTTCATGCTGCACTGAGCATGACTAAGCATTGGATATATGGCGAAAGTCTCTAGACCTCTCAAGCCCTCAAACCCTCAGACCTCAATGCGCATAGCGAACGCTACACGCTAGCTGACAGCCAGACCCATTGACCCACAGCCCTAGCCCATGACAAACTTATAAATTATACCGACAACAACAACAACAACACTATATAGAAATCATAATTAAAAGCTGTCAAATCATAATTGCTGACTAGCCGCTAAATATTGAAGACCCGTGTGTGCATGGCGGCCCAGAAAATTTCTAACAATGCGCCGCACATTTATGGATCGCTTTATTTGTTCATTTTCTCATTTATTTGTGTGCGAGTTTTTCTTCTTCTTCTCTTTACTTATTTATTTTTTGGTTAGTGTAAATTGCATAATAATTATAATAATGAATAGCAAACAAGCAACAAGTGGGCAGGCAGGCTGGCTGGCTGGCTGGCTGGCTGGCTAGCTGGTTGCTACACCCAAGCGCAGGCCTCAATGATGTAAAGAAAAGAGATGCGCCCAGCTAGCTGACCAAGCATCTAGCCCATCTATTGAGTGGACTGGCTGCCTGACTGACTAGCTGTCTGTCTGCCTATCTGTCCATTTATCTGTCTGTCGGCCTGCACTGTCTCTGTTCACAACGGCTTGTCAAACAATCGACAACAAATGAAACCCAAATTGAAAACGCTGCGTTCATTGCTCAATCATTGCTCGGCGAGCCGCTATGTGAACTACTTTGGGCAGCAAAGTGTGGACTTTGTGTGTATGTGAGTGTTGTTTGCCCTAAATCGGGGCCCAATCTGCGCCCAAGGGCGCTGCATAAATTAAAGCAAGCGCCGGATTAACATTGCATTTTAGTCCAAAGATCTGTTGATGTTCAACATAATGATGTTGCTGTCGTTGTTGATTCGCAGTCACAGCCTCATCAGTCGGTGTTGCTGTTGGAGTTGCGTCTGACCATGTTTTTATTTTTTTTATTTTTTTTTTTCTCGTAAGTTAACGGTCTTCATACTCAGTTACATGTGAGCCGTCAAGCCGATGAAACGCGCGCCGAGATCGTTAAGCTAAATAAATATATGAGCGAGTGTAAAGTTTTATTTCTCAGTGCTATTGTGAAGTTGTTTTCGGTTATCTTCTATTTTTTTTGTACCATACATACATCTATATATATATATATAAATAATACATTTTTGGTAATTATAATTACTGCTTCTGCAGCTTTAGCTATGGCTGTTGGTATTGTTATTGTTGTTGCCGAATTGTGGCATGGCCGAGATTTGTGAGCCGACGCTGCTGGGCACAGGCTGTGTGCCAATTGGTGCGCAACTTTCGCAAAACGTATGAAATAGAAAAAGCAGCAAAAAAAAAACACATGAAACGCGACCGTTTTCAAATTGCCAAACATGCGACAAAATGCAACTGAAACAACAAAAGACAAGACAACTTATTTGCCGGGCAGGAGGAAGCTCAGCGGCATCACAGAAACCAGCTTGCTGCTCCTTCAGACCCGCACAGTGAAAGAAAGAGCACATTTTGAAGAAACTTGAGCACTTTTCTGAAAACTACATTCTACACTTCACTGCATTATCATATAATTACTTCCTGTCCGAATGTTAAAGTTCTCTTCTGACTGTTTTCTGCTCTAAGCCATTCATATTATAATGCCTGTAAACTATTCATTGTTAACCCATTATTCTTAAATCTATTTTAATACTCTCAGTTTGTTTTGGTTTAAAAATTTATACGAGCTGCTTGAAAAACATTCTTAAGAATTAGTTTTTAGAAAATACATTTTTTTATGTGTCCATTTCTATGAAAAAGAGTAACGGACAATAGGCATGATCAGGCAGGCAAACAATCTGCACACAAGCTAATCAAATTTTACAAATATGCTTAAGATTCGAAACTTTTGAGATTTCGTTTTTATAACTGAAGTATTTCTTAAACCTCTAGCTGCCAACACAAACAAACTAGCTATATATTTTAGCAGAGTCGTTGTGGAAACAAATATTCGTTCGCTTAAATGTGACCATTAGCGTAAAGCTAAATAAAAATCTGTGTAGATTTGAAGTTGCATTTAAATTTCCTAGTCTGCTGTCGGTGCTTTGCACCAAAATAATAATTTCCAAATCTTACTTCCAAATCTCACCTAAAACGACAAACGTTCAGAAAATGCATTAACTACTATAACTTCTATTCCGATATCTTTTTCCAATTAAGTTCTACGCAAATGGAAACATTTTACAAATATTTAATAACCTTCTTCACATACATATAGTATGTAGTAGTAGTAGTATGCCACATAATGAAGGACACGTAATACTTGATACGTTTTCGAGTGCTGTTTAGTAAGAGGAAGCAATTGTTCTCGTTTTCGTTTCTCTATAGTTATTTTGTCGCCCCTCGTTTTAAACTTCCAATGTTTTTTTCCGAATGGCTGGACACTGTGCAAATGGCAGATATGCTCAATTGTGTCTAGTTGGGGGCAGTTGCTTTCACTGCTGCAGCCGAAAGAGTCGATTTAAGCGACATAAACTATAGCCGCTGTGGCGGCTGCGGCGGTGGTGGCAGCGACAGAGCGGACTGGAAAAACCGCAGCGTACAGCAATTTAGCTTGACGCACCTGAGCGGCGGCAAAAACAACGGCGAGCGGACAAACGAAATATCGAAATTGCATTTCACAAAAAAACACAAAATCGAATTGAGTTTTCCGCCAGACCATTATGGCATTGAACTTGAAAAACTTGCAGAGACTTCGTCACATTGACGACCGCAACAACGTTGTCGCATAATGAAATGCAGTTATATGTACGCACGTGTGTGTGTGTGTGTGTGTGTGTGTGTGTGTGTGTGTGTGTGTGTGTGTGTGTGTGTGCGAGTGTATGTTAACATAATTTGATTTGATTTCGTGTGTGTGTGTCGTAAATCAACTAGAGACAAATTTGTGATCATTGTGTATATATGGTTGATGTTGTTGTTGCTGCATTTATGCAAATGCGCCATCTATTGGCCAACTTCTCGGCCTCTGTTTTCATTTTTGTTGTTGCTGTTGTGATCAATTTCACAAACTAAACAAACGCTGCTGAGCTGGCAGAGTACCGCGAGCAGCGCTTCCGCAAAAGCGGCACACCAACTGCTGCTTGTTGTTGTTGTTGTCGCTTGCTTGCTGTTGCTGGCATTTTGTGTAACAGTTTGTGGGCCGCAATAAGGCGGAAAGCCTGCGCTTGCATGCCAGCAACCATGCCAGAAACAATAACAATTGCCTTGCCAACAACAACAATGCCACCTGGCTATGGTCATTATCATTATTATTACGGTGATCATTATCATATCATTCATCATTGTAAATAATAATGCTACAAATTGTATATTAATTATTTGCTATTTCTTTAATTTCTTTCATTTAAAGTCTTCAAATATTGCCGTGCAATTGCTGTCAAAATATGGGCCAAGAGATATCACAGCAACAACAACAACAGCAGCAGCAGCTACACGCACATAACAATAAATGCAACAACAACAACAACAGACGTCCACAACAACCACAGTTACAACAACAACAACAACAGCTACGCAAGAGCTACACCCAAAACAAACACAAGGACAACCTCATCTACACATCCTCGAACGTCTCGAACATCTCGACCAGCTCTTGCTCGACCAGCACCGACATCGACTACGACGCCAAATACCGACTGCGCCACAAATACAATTTGAGCAAGCAGACCTACGAGCGCACCAAAATCTTATCCACAGCAACCACCGCCGGCTCATCATCGCTAACCACAACAACCCACTCGCAGTCGCACTCAGACAGCGATTCGCATTACGCCAAAATACAGAACAGTAGCAGCGCAAAGTATTTACAACGCAACAGCTACCACAGTCCACGCTCCCAGAGCTCAGATAGTGGCATCTACAATTCGTCGTGTCACTGCTCCTCGTTGTCCTCGCTTTCGGCCGTTTCGAGTTCCTCGGCCAGCTCCACCAGCGGCTGTCCACCCTCGCTGTTGTCAAGTAAGTCGAGCCGCTCGCTCGACAAACAAAAACACTATCTGAGCCATCACCTCTACATAAAGTCCTATCTGGACATCTTGGAGGAGGACGAGCGGGCGCGCGCCCACTTCAAGTCGGCGCGCCCGGGTGGTATACGCAACTATACGCCAAAAATTTTAGCCGGCAGCGATTCATCTAGCTCGACTCTGTCGGCCAGCGCACCCGCATCCAGCTACGGCTACACACAAGCCGCTGCCAGCTCCGCAAAGCAGCAGCAGCTACAGCGTTCCATTAACGGTAAACAGTGTCACGAGGATCCGTGGATTTGACAATTACTGAACCATGGCGTTTGGCACAATGACGTCTTTGCTTGGCATGATACCCCTCCTGGCGATCGGCATGAACTTCTATCGCTATCAAAGCGTCGATCCCGAGAACAAGGTGCAGGAGGCACAAACCGTAAGTAGCAGTCGCAAATTAATATCAATGGAGATGTTGAAGACCCAATTATAATAATATTAAATTTGTTGTTAGCAAGGAATAAATGTGTTATATCTAGTTCAAGCAATTTGCAGAACGAACTGATTAACCGATGGATTAACTTTGCTTCGACAACTAATTAACCCAAATATACATACAATATACATTGTGGCATCAACAATTCTATTATCATATAATTGAAGAACTTATAGAGACGCTTAATTTATGTATATTTATTGTAGGTGCGTCGCCAATATGACTTCGTTGTGGTGGGCGGTGGCTCAGCTGGCGCCGTGGTGGCAAATCGACTGTCCGAGGTCCGCAATTGGACGGTGCTGCTTCTCGAGGCGGGCGGCGACGAGACCGAGATCTCCGATGTACCTGCTCTGGCAGGATATCTGCAGTTAACCGAGCTGGATTGGAAGTATCAGACAACCCCCTCCTCCACACGACAGTATTGCCAGGCGATGAAGGGCGATCGTTGCTTCTGGCCACGCGGCAAGGTTCTAGGTGGTAGCTCTGTGCTCAATGCCATGGTGTATGTGCGTGGCTCGCGTAACGACTACGACCATTGGGCATCGCTGGGCAACCCAGGCTGGGGTTATAACGAGATGCTCAAATACTTCCTCAAGTCGGAGGATGTGCGAAATCCCTATTTGGCCGCCACACCCTATCACGAAACAGGCGGCTATCTCACCGTACAAGAGGCCCCTTGGCGCACACCTCTCTCCATTGCCTTCCTTCAGGCGGGCATGGAAATGGGATACGAAAACCGTGATATTAATGGCGCCCAGCAAACGGGCTTTATGCTCACCCAGAGCACCATACGTCGCGGGGCCCGTTGCAGCACGGGCAAGGCTTTCATCCGACCAGTGCGTCTGCGCAAAAATCTTGACGTATTGCTGCACGCGGAGGCCACACGGCTGATTATCGACAAGCAGAAGCGTGCAGTGGGCGTGGAATATATGAAGGCCGGTCGCAAGCAGCTGGTGTTCGTGCGGCGTGAGGTTATCGTGAGTGCGGGCGCACTAAACACACCCAAGCTGCTCATGCTGAGCGGCATTGGACCAGGCGAACATCTACAGGAGCATAACATACCCGTCATCTCAGATTTGCCCGTGGGCAACAACATGCAGGACCACGTGGGCTTGGGCGGCCTCACGTTTGTAGTGGATGCACCCCTCACCGTGACTCGCAATCGCTTTCAGACTATTCCAGTCTCCATGGAATACATCCTACGCGAGCGCGGACCCATGACCTTTTCGGGTGTGGAGGGCGTGGCCTTTGTAAATACGAAGTTCCAGGACCCAGCAGTCGACTGGCCTGACGTACAGTTCCATTTCTGTCCCAGCTCGATTAACTCAGATGGGGGCGAGCAGATACGCAAGATTCTGAATTTACGCGACGGCTTCTATAACACCGTCTACAAGCCACTGCACAACAGCGAAACTTGGTCTATACTGCCACTGCTGTTGCGGCCCAAAAGCAGCGGGTGGGTGCGCCTCAACTCACGGAACCCGCAGCAGCCGCCAAAGATCATACCCAACTACTTCGCGCACCAGCAAGACATTGACGTACTGGTCGAGGGCATCAAGTTGGCCATCAATGTGTCCAACACACAGGCCTTCCAACGCTTCGGCTCGCGACTACACAACATTCCGCTGCCCGGTTGTCGGCATCTGCCGTTCCAATCGGACGCCTACTGGGCGTGCTGCATCAAGGAGTTCACCTTCACCATCTATCATCCAGCCGGCACGTGTCGCATGGGCCCCAGTTGGGATGTGACTGCGGTGGTGGATCCACGATTGCGTGTCTACGGCGTCTCTGGCATACGCGTGGTGGACGCCAGCATTATGCCCACCATTGTCAATGGCAATCCTAATGCCCCGGTCATTGCCATCGGGGAGAAGGCCTCGGACATGATCAAGGAAGATTGGGGCGCACGCAAAGCACCACCCGCTAAGGCCGGCTGAAACGGACCTTAGTTAGTTCCGCTCAACGTATTTCGCTAATTTCATAAACTAGTCAATTGCGTGTGTAATTTTTTTTGTGAATTTTTTTTTACCGCATTCATTTCACTCGTCGGCACGATGCTGCCTAAACTTAATGTTAGTGTAAAAATGCGCTATTTGTATTTAACATGACTTTCATTTTGTTTCTATGCAATTTGCTCTATAATTCTATTTATAATTTATATTTATTGCTATCGTATGTACGTGTAATAATTAATTCTAGTTGAAACATTTGTAAAATTGTTTTTCATTTTTCGGCCGGCTCCTGAAAGTATGCAACGTTTGCTTATCGGCCTAACTATTTAGCAAAGCCACACACCACATGCTCCTAGTCGTGACACAAACGAAGACAAGGCATGGAAACCATTTGGAAGCGCTTTGAAAATGTTGTGTTCCTTAATGCAGCAATGCAGATATGTAATGAGCGACACAATAAAATACAACTGAAAACTACATGTACTAGGAGCTGTCTGTTGATATGCCTGACACATTATCTGCGGCCTGTAAGTTTTATTTATTTCCAGTCAAGCTATGAAGCTAAACGATCAACATGTTCCTAATAGTCTGTTAGGTTAATTCCCCGTGCTGGTCAGCTTGAATATATCTTTACTAAATAGCTCACTCCTCCATTTATGTAGAGCTACTATTTAAAGGAATATGTATTGCTTATTAAAAATGAATAGACTTAGGTATAGCCTTAAGTATATACAAACGAAAACCAATATATTCTTACACTTTTCAGTGAAGAGTGGAATAAAAATTAAATTCTATATTCTGTATATTTAGAACAAAGACCCAACGCTGTAGCTGTTCCGTTATTTCAAGTTTTCAGCATACTATTCCACAATGGGATATTATCAAAGCATATTACGGGTCGAATGTCGAAGTACACCATTTTATATCACAGTTTAGTACTTCTATTTATATTTTATAACTCTTTTAATTTCAATGAGATTTAACTTTTGGAGCAATTTGGTTTTACACCTCATAGAGAAGGGCTTTCTTAGCGATTTAAAAATATTTTTCACCAAGACTGCCAAAGAATTTTCATTTGTATTAATGACAATTAAGTCGAAGCGATTCCAGATATGACAGAACATTGTGTTTTCAAATATGGATACACACTATTGGACCAATTATAACAGGCATGGAACATACAATCGGAAAATAGACAGAAGCACTGCCACCGAAAACCTCATGCTGAGGTTGCAGTTGTTTTTGCCGATTTATGCGAAACAATTAAAATTATACATTTTCAGTTCAAAAGAAATATCAGATTGTATTTTGGCATATCCACTAGTTCATATAATTGTAAGATGACAGGCATTGTATTTTTTTACTGTTTATAACTTGGTGTCTATTCACCTACACTTTTATTCCAAAGACCAATCAGCGTGTAGTTGATAAAAATATATTTGTGGTTTTAAAATGTCACACAATCTAAGACCAATCATGCCCTGAAATGGTTTTAATAGGGAACTAAAAAAAAACAGATTGTTACAACTAAAGCTAAAGAGTATGCATGTATATAAAGGATGGCTTTGTTTAGATACATAAAAGCCATATTTTTTGATTTGTCACACAATTGTTTCGCTGCTCCCGCTTGTGCTGCTGCTGGTGGTTTTCAAAGGTGAAAGTTGATGCTGTCATACGCTGCGTATGTGTGATCGATGGGCGCATAATTTGTCAAGCCCTTTCGGCTGTCAACGCTCAACGGGTCGACGGTAGTTGCCCCTAATTGTTGCCTGCCGGTTTGCTTCCGCCTTGAACTATTTGTGACAGCCCCAAATTAAATCGCAACAGCAAATGCCAAATGTCAAATTGCCAGCTTAGCTAACGATAAAAGCAGCAACATCGAAACCGAAATCGAAATCAAAATCAGTGAACCACAGCCAATGGGCCAGCCATCAGATAGATCGTTGATTGCCAATCACTGATGTACATCGTCGTTCCCAGCCATCTGATGATGTGGCGCCGCTACCACCGCTGATCGACTGCTAAACCGCCTGCCGGCCTGCCAACCAGCGTGCCAGCCAGCCTGCCTGTCGGCCTAGCCGTGTGGCAGCCTGCCCAGCCGCCTGCTTCCGTAATTTAACTCCCATAACAATAAAATTGAAGCTGCCTGGTGAGCAGTTATGAGCCGTCACGAGCGCTCCTCTCTCGACATCATTGCCTGCAACAAATGGCCATTACACGAGCATAGTATAGTATGTGGGGCGTGCGGCATTAACTGCGGCAGTGGCAGCAGTGGCAACTGTAGGCGTGGCGCTAAAACTGCTCGCACATCGCATTTATATGTCCGACGGGCCAAGTTAAGTTTATAAAGCCTCACTCTTTTTGCATTGGACTTTATTTGGTACGAGTATTATACTTCAGTCATTCAATCAATTCGCTTAAACATTTATTGGCGCATACTCTGAACTGCGAATCAAATTTTAAATTAATCAGCATCTGGCAGGAGAAAACAAGCAGGAAGACAGTATTGGAAAGGGCGCATAAAAAATCCAAAATAGTCAGAGTTCAACATACTTGAAGCTTTTTACATGTGTTTCCATGCTTTAAATACATATGTTTAAACGTTCACCAAAATACCTAATAACAAGACTTTAAAAGTTTAAACATACACAATAGATGTGCATTTCGTGGAATCAAGTAGTAATAGTATTTGTGACACGCCCATTTATAATGTGGTAAAGTGGTAAGAAATTGGAAATATGGTTTTTTCTCTAGTATGCTTCGCTAATTTTATTTATTTACTTTTACGCGCTACGACAACGGATTTAAATTAGTAATATTTTAATCAATAAAATTTTAAAGAATCATATCTTGCTTGTTAAATAGAAGAAATTAATGAAGTGGGCAACTGTTTTGAATTTAAAGATCGGAACTAGTTTAATTTTCGAAATTATGTTAACTGTGATTTTGAAATGTTGTAACTCAAAAAACTGATTCCGCATTCCGCTGAAATATGATTCAAGAAATGCCGATAAGTATACATGATAAAGTTCTGAAACATTACAAAAAAAAAAATAGCATACCCTTTTACCCTTAGAAAGGGACGCTTAGTAGTGCAGGCCGGCTAGTTGATTGGAGTAAAATTTAAGCAACATTTCTTTTGGTAAAACGCAATAAAAATGCTTCTGTAAGATTTATTGAAACGTTATTCTTCGGCACGGAGGCATATGGTAGCAATTGGGGGCACTAACTTGGCTAATTATGTCAAGGCTAGCTTGCCAACATGCCCTAGTCTTTTGGCATTTTCGCACGTTTTATTTCGTAGGTGCCAATCACTGGACTGGGCAATGGCCAGCAATCAGTCTGGTAATTATCAGTGCGCAGCTAATCCGCTCGATCAACAGTTAGCTCGATCAGTTGCCGTGGATTAGAGCAGCGCTTGGCCAACAACTGCCGTTGCAATTGAGCATGCGCAAGCGACAATGGCAGCGCAATTCGCGCCGGCAATAAACCACCCAGAGCGGCTCTTATATAAGGCCCTTAAGAGCCAACCGACAGACAATTCGAACAAATATTTGATTTGATTTAAACGAAACACGCCAAGTCACACAGAGTCACAAAGTTTGACGAGTCAGCCGGCCGAGCGATCCACAACACCATAACAAAGACGAAGTCGAAGTCGAACTCTCTGACGAAGACGCCGAACGCCGATCATTTGGATGACGACAACCCCGCGTACGTGACTTAGTCGGCTAGAAATGGAAAGTGTTATGCGAAACAGTGTCGTACACGCCGCATGATGAGGAGTGAGCGCAATAGACGAGCACCACAGCCAGATGGTGATGATGACACACCGGGCCACGTTAATGCTGTGGGCCGGAGAGGCAGCGGCCGACGGTGCGGAAGCGGGAGCGGGAGGTGCGAGCCAGCAAGACAAGTCAAGTGTCTGTGGTCAGTGCGACGTAGGTCGGGCCGAGCCAAACAAATGTAGGTCATTAATCGTCTGAGAGGCTGCCAACAAGTTAACTGACACATTTAGTTGCGTTTTATTGTTACTGCATCTAGGGAGGAAGGTCGTTGCCATCATTATCATTAACATCATCATTATTATGGTCATCTGACATATGCATACTCGTATGTGATATGCGGTCCGGTCAGTGTTGCAAGCATCCACGATGGGAATTGCCCTACAATTGAATTGCATTCATTGAATGCATTCGTGCAAATGCATTTGTATGATGGAAATCGTATTCACAATTTCTTTTTTTTTTTTTAATTTTTTGTAACTGGATCTGCCGAGTGACTAGTTTGTCTCAGCTTCTGTACATATCTTTTTAAATACAGTCATTGAGAAATGGTTAGATGAACGGATACACAATTTTATAGCCCTTCTATATCTTTCGAAATACAGGCGATCGGACAGCAGCAAAATAAAAATTGTGTAGGTGCAGAAACTGCCACTAATTGAAATATACAGTCTTTTTTTTACATACATTGCATACATATTTCTTTAGAGATAAGGAACTATTCACTTAGTTTTGGAACCTAGTTTCTGCAACCATTCTACCGTGTAAAAACAGAATTAGGTGTGCAAATACAAGTTGGTAACAAAACCTTTCCAACCATTGAACTTAAAACATATAGTTTTTAAAGGGACCACCTCTAGATAATCTACAGATATGCCTTCTGGATTTTTTTAAACAAAAACATTTGACCTCCAACTGGGACAAATTTTTACTTTACACCGCCACATACGGGTATGATGGGGAAAAATGTGATCGTCCCAGAGCTGATGCGAAAAATAGCAAGATAGTCCAGAGACAAGTAAGCAAATCAAGCCGCAAAGAGCATTATAGGTAAGATATAGGGTGTGTCGAATATGCTGGTTACGTAATAAATAATGCCCGCCTCGCTAAGCTTCTTTTAAGCGATGTCTACTGTACATAGCAGGCGTAACTATTGCGATTACTCACTAAATGCAGCACATGAGATTTATGATTATTACACACACACACACACACTCTCACACACACAAACGGTAGGTACGACGTGATGTCGAACACATCT